CTGTTGCAAAGCTTCAAAATGGAAAGAAAACACCAAGGCAAAGCAATAGCTTGCTCACTTGTCATCCATAAAATAAACCAACGTGTTTCATTCTGTTTATGTAACTACATTAGACAACAGTCTTCTCTGGGCTACATGGCACTTTAACTCTTCCCCAGAGTAAGCAATCCATAGCAACACTGAAAAGAAGAACTCTTAAAAGACTTCATGGAATTTCATATTACTTTTACCTTATATCCTCCTGTCTCAGCATAAGACTGTCATGTTTAATATCCTAAGGCACAAAAACTTGGCGTAAGCGGTGTTACTCTGCTTGCAGCAAGCACTAGAGAGCGCTGTCCGGTGTCCCCCAAGGCTCACCCACGCCTGCTGTAAGGCGCTGCTGCTTGATCTTACCTTTCCATGACTTTAACTCATAAGACAAAAGAGCTACAGGAAGGAGTAACAACTCAGTACGACTGGAATTTTAAACCCTAGGTGGGTTTTCTTATCCCTCCAACCCACATAGAAAGAAGAATGCCCGCACCAATCTTTCTCGGTTGTTGGGGTTTTTTAAATTAAAAAAAAAATGGTACTGTCACAGCCTCTAGAGGCTATCCCATGGACAGCTCAGCTGACACGATCCAACTCGGCTTATGTACCTATTGGTATTCTATTTACACTTTAATTGTGCAAGATTAGTAAATTAAAACCCTATATATACTCGCCGTTTGAGTTCACATCCTTGAATGTTTTACCTCGCTTCTGCATTACATAACTGTAGAGAGCTATAATGGTTTGAACTGTATTAGACCAGAAACACATACCATCGTTAAGGAAAGAGTACTTGGATCCGTATCCTCCACCGGCTCTTTTGCTGCATGATCTGCTAGAAATAAGAAAGCTTTATCGCTGCATAATCCTCAAAATATTTCTGTCCGGCAATTCATATTTTGCTTCTTTGTCTGACCAAGATAAAGCACAGCTATGCCGCCCTTACCTGCATTGTGTCAAACTACACTTCCACAAAAAAAACATGACAAACTAGAAAATGTCCGAGCTACTAGCATATAGGTAAGAAACTACACGCAACAAGGAATCCCAACTCTAAGCTAACAAAAGACAGACTTAAATGAAAACCCTAAATTATTTTTCATCAAAATAAATAAATCACAAAGCAATTAGGCAATAAGGAATAAAATCCAGTAAATCTGCTAAAAGCTAAGTTTTGCCATCCAAGCTCAGTTTTTTCCTTAAAGCAATAATTCAAACAGTAAATATATCCATTACAACAAAAATTAATACTATAATAAACAGCAGACTGTAATACAAAACCTAATAATTAATACATATCTAAGGTAAATAATAATTATTTGTACACAATAGAATCACAAACTTCAATTCTATTAGCATCAAAAGGATACAAAAATAAATCTTCAACGCATTTGCAGGTGAATCATTAAATGTCAACCCCTCTGCACCGATGGCTGAACTTACAAATAATAGTGGGGTACTGACCAAAAGTGCACAGAGGACCTGAAACAAATCTCATACAGAAGTCAGGATTCACAACACCACTCCTGCAATTTAACATCATCATGCCATTTCCTCGAGGACTCTCTTCTGTTGATGAGTATCACGTTTTCAAATACTGAAAAGCATTTTAAATTCTGTAGTCGGATTTTCACTCCATTCTTGTCACTCTCATTCTGAAAGTCCTTACACTTACTACAAGAACACATGAAATGTTTTCAACCGCGGTCAGAAAGAGGTGGTTGGAATCAATATTTGGTGATTATCTTCTCCCTATATAGAAATCAGGGCATTTTAGAAGACAACTTAGTCCCAGAAATTAATTACAAAACGCCCAGTATAAACACCGAGCCCCAAAATAGCACAGAAGTTGCACAGACACTATTCTAACCAACTCAAATTTAGCATAATTGTTTATTATTATTGTTATTAGGGCCTGCTCCTACAAACCTACTCAACACAACAGAACCACAAGCTAAAGCATAAGACAACACAAGACAGTACAATAAACAGGCCTGAAAATCAAAAAGGTGGCAGCAGCGGGACAGAGGCAGCCCCAGCGCCCCGGGACAGAGCTGCTCTCCCTCCTGCTTCCATGGGGCAGCCCCACCAGCAGCTCCCGGGGGTACGGTGCAGTCCCCGGGCTCTTCCCAGCATTGCGGAGAGGGGTCTTCTCAGCGCTAATGCCCACAGGATGGCCACACGCGTTCTCCAGGCTGGTGGCACACCATCAGAGGGCTCAGACCTCCAAAGCTTGAGCGCAGCCTTTGCACAAACACACACTGAACATTTTACAAAGGCAGAGGTCTCTGAAACTTCAGATGAGCATGTTCACCCTGCAGTGCAAAGTTTAAGAAGAGGAGAAAACCCCAAACCAAACTCACACATTCTTGTCACGCATGCCCTTTTCGGCAAATATTAAATCCCTGCTCCAGAAACACGGTATTAACAGAGCACTCTGGATAAAGCCTGCCCTGATGGCAAGGGCCAGCACAAACCACATAAGCTTCCGAACTCAAATGCAGAGAGGGTGGGAGTCTGACCTGGATATGAAAAAATACAATAAGCTGGAGTAAGACGTTGCATGAGAGCAAGGCCAAAAATGGCGGATCCAAGTGGGAACTGTAGTGGAGAGCTGTGAAAAGAATGGAAAGGGAGCTGGGGCAAAGACAGAGGCCCACTCTGTAAAGGAAAGCTGAAAAAGGAGGAGGTACTGAGAGCCAAAGAAAGTCTCGAAGGAAGAAAGCCAGCCCAGGCACCCCTTGTCTCACTGTTTCTCCAGTGTCAGCAAAGACCCAGCAAACCCAGTGGCACAGCATGCAACTTGTCGTCAGCTTATTCTGGAGCCCTTACAGCTCCTCCTTATGAATTCTTGGCTGCATGAATAAATAAATCTTTCTTTCGCCCTTGTAATATAAGAGGAGCCTTAAGGTAGATGAAAGTAGGCCCCTCAAAAGGTCCACGCTCTGGTGAACCTTCGTGGCTACTGTAGCTACCGTTAAGGTATTCATCCCCCATCTTCTGTCACAACTCCAAGATACGGCCAAGGTACATCACAACACCAGTAATTATGTACTTTCCACAATCCAGAGGGAAGCATTGAAAAAAATGGGAGAAACTCCAAGAATACAGGCATTTGAAATAAGGATTCAACAGACTCCAGGGTGACCCTACAAGAAGTGATGGCGTACAGAGCGGTACCTCTGATTGACTCCTGCTTTCTAGGTCTCGCACAGAAACACAGTCACCATGAACTGTGACCTTGCATCTTTCTTGTTTTATCCATCCTGAAAAATATTTTAAGACTGTATTTCTCTCCCTGTGCTTCAATTTCTTCCCTTTCATTTTTATAATTCTTTACGAAGAACAACAATTTCCATTTTCTTAGGTTGTAGAGCACTACCAAGTTCCAACATTTTCTGTAAGTGGCATCTATGTCTACGAATATTTGTACCTAAGGATAAATGGTCCACATACTGGCTGTGGATGATTCACCATGGTCTTGTTGATCACTGATAGCTGGCAGATAATCTGAAAACCACAGACTTAACATTTAATTGTGAATAAGGCAATTAAAATGCCATGTCCCCTCTCTCTTCCCACACGTACCACCCACAGCATTCTGCAGCTCATCTCATACAGCTGGATGCAGGTGCACAAAACAGCAGGAAGGAAAGTTCTCTGTTTATCTCAAATGTAAAACATCCACAGTTCTGCATGTTGAAAGGTCAACAGGAAATACAGGTATCATCTGACTATTCAGTGCAGACCACCTGATTTCATGGTTACTTTGACAGACAGCTTGACAACAACGTGATTCAGGATCCCTCAAAAAAACCACTATCACCATACTCCCCACTGACAGCATACAACCACTGGCCTGCATTTAATTCCCCACACTCCTGCCAGGAACCACACGTGAGTTGACTCAGATGGACGTAAATCAGCATGTACAGACTGACTCGGACAGACATAAGCCAGGTTCGATGGCTGCTCCCAAGGACCCTTTCTGCCGCCCAGCACCCGCACACGGATGGCTCAGCAGCTGCCATGGCTCTTCCGCCAGAGCCTGTCCAGTACAACCAGTCGGCAACAGGAGCAGCAGACTTGTACCCATCACCACTGTTTCACTCTGTTCAATACTGGTACTCCAACGGGGATGCAACGCTGTGCACTTACCAGTGTGAACAATCAATTTTATTTATAAGCAGATTTATATATGTGTATACACACAGATATTCAAAACTTCTAACCCTACATCTGCTCTTCACCCTTGAATTGGAAGGAAGCCTGAAGGCGAGCTTTGGAGACCCCAGCATTTTGACCTTCAGGGAGGAGGGGGGTCGCAAAGCACCGTGTAGCAGAGGTGGTATTGCCCTCTGTTCATTTTGTCCCTGCAACACAGCCTGGACACCACCAGCAGTGAGTGAAGCGTGTAAGGTCTAACGTGGCTATGCAGTTCAAGCACGCACATGTAAGGCCCCTCTCATGCCAAGGCAGGGCACACACTTCAACAGTACAACTTAGTACAACTCCAAGCGATCACCCTAGTACTAGTGCTAAATAGAGAGTAACCCTTTGACCAAACCAAATCGACAACGATGCTTTGGCCAGAGGCATACAAACCTCAGATTTGGTTAAGAGGAGGAAACACAGCAAAGTATATTAGAATATTAAGTTCTCTGAAAAGTCTGAGTCCATCAGCGCTTGTGCATTTTTGTTTACTATTAACCGCTCAAAACTTGGTCACTGTCTGAGCAGACAGGTAGGGGAAAACCGCGATGCTGGCACACCTGAGAGGAGATACTCAAAGGTCACTCGCACCATTAGCCATGTAAGCTGAAGAGCGTGGGCTTCCTCACCACCTGGAGCCCGGGAGCTCAGCAAAATGCCTTTTTAACGTGCTGTTAGCAAGCACAGGCCGACTGATAAGCTAAACACCGGGGCAGGCTTGACAAGTTGCACTAAATCACACCAGCACCGCACGCGATAAATCATTACCACGCTTAATTACCGCGTGCGGCGGGGGG